AAAAGGTAAAGATACTCAGATGTGTGAGGCATACAGGACCCCAGCTACCTACAACCCAAACAGAGCAACACCCAGGCATATAATAATAAAAATTCCAGAAATTCAATACAAGAACAGAATATTAAAAGCTGTAAGAGACAAGAAACAGACCACTTACAAGGGAACACCCATCAGAATTACAGCAGATTTCTCTGCACAAACCATCAAATCACGAAGAGAGTGGGGGGAAATAATTCAAGCTTTGAAAGATAATAATCTCCAGCCAAGATTGAGATATCCTGCACAACTGTCCCTGGAAATTGATGGAAAAACAAGGTGCTTCCAGGATAAAGAGGAACTGGGGGAATTTGCAACCACCAATTCAACTCTACAGAGAGTATTGCAGGATATTCTAAAAAAAGAAAAATACAAAGAATCCAGAAATAATGGCAGAGAGGCCACAACGAATAGAGCAGAGAACAAAATGAAGAAGACAAACTGACAGCTACTGACAGAAAAAGAGCTCAACAGAAATGAGGCAGAGAAGATTGGATGATAGGAACAGCTATTTTGGAGAAAATGACATCTTAATAGGTAATACTGATTTAGTATCATCTTGTTTTGAAGTCTCATCTAGCTTTTGTCCTTCTGTCTCCAATGGTCTAAATAGGCTGTATCTTATTGGATTTTATTATGTATGATAGTATAAGCAAAAACCTTTTAAAGACAAGGAGATTATACAGAAACCACTGTTCATTTTCTGTTAGTCGATTCTAAATACTCTGTAATGCTGTCATTCTCTTGAATGGTTTTACATTGTTTTGATATACTTAATGCTACAGTATACGAAGTTGTACTCAAAGATTTCAAAGAAAGAGACAATATGGTAACTACTTTTAGGTTAGGATTATCTGGTGGTGAAACACTATTCTGCTTAAATGGTTATGTTTTGATCTGCGCTGTTTTGTTGTTATGCCCTCTTTTATCTCAATCTCCACTCCATTATTTACTTTTTTATCTTTATCCTTTTAATTAAAGGAAAAAAAATAGCAGGATATATTATAGTAACCCACTTTGACTTTCATTACCTTGATTTAAAGCCCTGTATTACTCTCACCATCTGGTTTTTAACCGATGTTCCCCTATTCTGTTTTGCTGGATAGTATCAGGTTCGAAAGTTTAGGCATCAGCTGTGAAGATAATAAGATTCATTATGATGCCCATTCTCGTTGACTTTTATCTACTTTTGAAGACCTACAATGTCTCCAATGTTTTGGTTTTGTCGGTTTTATTCTTTACTGTTTTGTTCAATTGTATTATAACTAACGATATAGGCAATTCTATTAGAGATAGCGGGAGGCATTATGGTAACCATTGTTGATCACCTTGTATTATGTTTTTACATTATCTATTATGTCCACCCTTTTGACTTGACTGATTCTGTTCTGTTATGTCACATTTGGTTTTACTCTCTTCCAAAAAAGTAATAAGAACCGTGGGAGCAATGAAACCCAAAATGTGTAATAGTCATGGTACAAAAGAGAGGAAAAGAAAGTGCTCCAAACTATATAACTGCATGTATATTTAAGTGTATAAGATAGAAAATGATATCATAGAGTTTTATTGGATCAATGAACAGAACTGTTTGCAGTATCATTGATGGAATGTCCACTTTACAAGCTTTAATTTTGTGACTTGAACAATTATTTCTAAGATGACAATATGTAATCCATTAACTAGTGATTTCCTACTGTTCATTTTTTTTCTGTAAATCTGTATAACTTGTACCCTTTCCCTGCTTTTTCTTTTCTCCTTAAATAAAATTAAAAAAAAATCTAAACACATTGATCAATTTGTTTATTAATTACACTGTTTCATTATGTTACATTTGAAGTCCTTAAGTTTCTTTGCTTCTTCTTTGATCATTAAACCAATTGGTAGTTGGTTTTTTTTCTACATTGGCGCCCTTTGGATCTACCTGGTCAGGAGCTGGGAATTTTTGGATGCATTTTGTTGCCTTGTTTTTTTATGTTTTTCTGTGTGTGCACATGTGCATATCAATGAATGCATGTGCTGAAAGTTAAGGTCCAATGGAATGATAATATTCTATTATCGGTATGAAGATCTCTCTAGTTAGGCTCTGCTTTCTAGTGAGGTGATCTTGAATTTATTCATCAAGAATTATTGTCTACCACTTCAATCTACTCAGTTTAACTGAGTTGGACAGTCACTGTGTTGTAAGAAGAGAATCCCTACACATTATACCCCATCAGCACTTCCAATCAGACCTCAGTCATGACCATTCACATTTATTTTGTAATTTCACCCTTTTATCAGTGACCTTGACAGACTATACTGCTGCTGATACTTGGTTTCCAGTGTGGAGGGTAGGAGGAAGGAAAGAGGTAGGGGGAAAGGAAAGGGGAGGAGAGAGAGAGGTAAGAGAAATGTCCATAGGTAAAAAACAGAAGGTGGGCTCTGTTAGAATACATTTTATAGCTGGAATACAGGGTTAGTGTTGAGGGCGTTTGAGAGAATGTTTGTGGTGAGAATGCAGAGGGATGGAAGTGTAGTTAAGACTGAGAGATGCTTTGAGAGTATCAGAACTTGTTAACATCCTTTAGGTAAGTTTTGTGGGACAAAGGGGAAAACCTTAAAAAATACAGTAAAATAAAAAATACTAAGAAAGAAGAAACAGAAAACACCCCCCCACACACATGCGTGCATGCGTGTACACACGCGCACACACACACACATGCATCAAGAAAAAAACAGAACAATATAAACAAGGAAATAAAAACAACCTTCACGCAGTCATTTTAGCATTAGCCTAAAGCGTCCAAACAGCTGTCCTTACACGGTAGTCATGGCCTGATTGTGAGTGGCCAAGCATTTTTGCCCTGTGGACCACTAAGTAAAGCTGCTCTCTCCTGGCTGCAAGTCCTGCTCTGGGTGTGGCCAGCTGTAGGCAGGCCTCTGTAGCCCACCCAAGATCGATTACCTCAATTTGCTTGGGAAGAGATGGTGGAAGGCCTCATCTGCCAGCACTGGATGGTGGGCAGTAGGCGGTGGGCAGGACCTCAGACCATCTCGGGTCTTTCTAGTGCTTGAGGACATAGTGGGAGAGTACCCGCTCTGTTCTGCTCCCCTCACAAACCCCTTAGACCCTGGAATTTGGTACAGCAAGTTTCTTTTCATTTACCCTTGGGTGGCAGGCTTTTGTTTTAACTCCTGCCTCAGGGTGCCTGATTTGGGGACTCCTGCCGTTGCTGTTGCCCCCAGGTGGCTGTGATTTTTCCTATTATCCATTGCTATTGTTAATTTTTTTCTAGGTCTCCTACAGTTTTGTTGATATTTCAAATCATTTTGTGCTGCATTTTCTAATACATATTTTTGGTGTAAAGAAATGCTCTTAATTTTTCTGTTTTATATTACATCTAACCATCTTGTTGTATGTTTCTTTAATGTTAATAGCTTGTTGACTCTCTTGAGTTTATAGAAAGGCTTTTTTTTAATTAAATAAGGACATTTTTGTCTCTTCCTTGTCTGATTTTGTGGTTCTCCATTACAGTGGTGCCTGTGTTCACGAACTTACTTTGTTCCATGATTATGGAAAAGATGGCTATGGTTGTGTTCGGCATTTGATATACAGTTTGTAAACAAAAACAAAATTTTTCCAAATGCTTCTGTTTGTGAACCAAATCATTCCCAAACAAAAGCACTCATGAACCAAAGTACCACTTGGTTTTTCTTATCTTATTGCATAGGTTAGAATCTTTGACACAGTATGGAACAGAAATAATGACAGAAGAAATTCTTCTGACTTCAATGAAATTAATTTTAAGTTTCCAGTACTTTTAATTCAGTTGAAAAACTAAATCTTAGTTTGATTATAGAATGTAGTACATCTTCTCTGGCTCTTTGATAGCTTAGATATAGAAAGGGCATCCCTGTCTAGGTCTCATGATGCCCGGCCAGGAGCATTTCCATTCATTGGACACATGTATCAGCAATATCTTAAATGATAATCAGTGAAATGTAACACATACATTCATTCAGACTGTAATTAAAAGTTTCAGTGGTGAGAAGCCCAGTAAACGGAAAGATATATAACTAAAATCTAATTTTAACAAACATTATGAAATATCAAGTAGTAAAAGGTATTTAACATTATGAAAAGAGGTAACCAAAGACAGAAGTTACAGTTTGGCTGAAGACAAGTCTTTCAGATTGTGGTGGATTATAAAATCTCATTTATTTTTACTTTTGTTTCTTTTTTGGTACCATTTTTACTTTTGTTTCACGACCTCACACCTGCCAGGCAGGCGCTTGTGCTGCTGAGCTAAATCCCTGGCCCCCTAAAATCTCATTTATCTAAATTGAACTTGCTAAAAGAGCACAGATTTTTTTTTCTGTCTTAGCAAATTCAGTTCTAGTTCTATTTCTAGGTTGCTTTTCTGATTATCTCATTGATTCTGTAGAAAACTTTTTCTTACTCCTTTCCTAGAACAAATTTTTCCAGTGGGGACATATTTTCTTTGAGATGATGGTTTTTCTTTTTTGTGTGGGGAGAGTACCTGAAATCAAACTTAGGACCTCATGCTTGCCAGGCAGGTACTGTGCCACTGAGCTAAATCCCTGGTCTACATGATGATGGTATTATACTAGGATGATTTCTTAGTGTTTTTATGGATACAGTAGTTAATTCATTCCAATCATGTACTCATCAAACACTTATTGTATGCCTACTGTGTGCAAGTCCTTGGAGCAATAAAGATTAGTTATCTGTCCTTGAAACAGAGACAGTAAATCAGTAATTTCAGCACAAGATAGCATGTGTTGTAAGAGATGGAAGAAGAAGACCGAATTTCAGAGAACAGGTGATGACACAGCCATGCTTGGAAAGAACATGACCAGGAGGTTTTAGGTGGCTATGGAGGAGAAAGGGCCCGCTTTCACAGAGAGTGGACCATCCATGACAGCCTTCACTTGGGCAGAGAATGGCGGGAAAGGGCACTTACCTGAATTTGAATGTCCCTGGAGTTGATCACTTCCACAATGCCCACCACATTGTCAAATACAAGGCCAAACTTCTTACAGTTATCTAGGGGGAAAGACAAGTTGCTGCTAAATATTTATACATGTTTATACCAAGCAACTCATCCTAGACACTATAAAGCCATCAGTGTATCCTACCAATTGTGATGGAATTTATTTTCCCTTTTATCTGGAGAGTAGATCGGTCACATTTGAAAATATAAGCCACTTGTTTCAGTTCAGTCTCTGAAATTACAAGGTCATTCCTGTCCTCTTGGTACTCCTGAAATGAAAAGAGACACAAATATTAGGAAGAAGGGGATACAGGCAAACAGAGTCCTCTGCATTCTGGAGCAGCTGTGCGGCTCAGCGTGACCACAGCTCCTTCCCCAGGTCTCGTCACAGTGCACAGAGAATGGATGAGACACTGTCTGGATGGGGCTTGGGGTCAATTTGCAAACTGTCAGGTGTTGTGGGCACCCTGGCCAGAGGGTGGGGCTGGAGCACTGATGCTAAGCCCACTCTTGGGATATGCGCAAAGAGGCCGACAATGGGTCCCAGGTAGTCCAAGCTTGTCTTTCCAAGCTGTGCCACCTTTTCCAGGGACATTAGTTTGCAATCTTTAGGGAGGCTTTCTGGGTAGACAGGGGACACTGCTTGCACTGACATTCAGAGTGTCTTGTGTGATTTGAATTAGCCCTGAAGGTGGCGGGGGGCAGGGGCTGTGCATGATTATGTCAGGGCCTCCTTCAGTGCAATCAAGCAAACAGCCTCCAGCAGATTGGAATGGGGTCCAGATTCCCCGGGTCCCCGTGCTCATGGTTTCTGTGGCCTCTTGCTTAAATTTTATGATGATGTTGCTTCTTAGAGAGAGACAGCACAATGTTACTTTCTTAGGGGTAGGAAAGGAAAAGGACAGCAATTGTTTGATGGGTACAGAGTTTTAGTTCTGCGAGGTGGTAGCATAACACTGTGAAGGTCCTTAATATTACCAAAATACGTACTTAAAAATTGGCTTAGGGTAAATTTTATGTTATGTGTCTTTTACCATAATCTAAATGACTAGCTTAAAAATGTTTGAAGAGTAAGAACCAATGAAGAAAAAAATATTGGAAGCACCTAGAAATGCCTCAGTTCTTATACCAGCTAGCGCTTTCTGCCTCTTGTTATGCCACTTAGAAATCCTTAAGGTCTTGCTAAATGGCTTTCATGGCTGGTCCATTTGTCACAGCCAGGCATGGCGGTGCAGAGGGCCCCCTGGATGACTCTCCTTGACCAAAGAGCAGTCATCTCCATTTGGACTAAACCCGGCACCATCTCTGTGTCCTGATAAGTACAGAGTTGGCTACCTCATTTCTTTTTCTCTTCAACTGGCTGTACCCAACATAAATAGGGCTGGCTGAGGTACTGATGTGTAATGTTTGAAGGCAGGTGACAGTCGTTGTTTCCCTGCCCCATGACTCCCCAAAACATGGCTGAGCCAGGTGGGGTGAAGATCCACAACTTCGGGGCTGTTAACTGGGTTGAGCCTTGAGATGAGAGGCTGTGACTTCCCAGAGCAGAAAAGTTTGCACATCAGAGCTGAAGCATCACCCCCTAAACATTAAATGCTACCTCCGCTGTGTTACACAGATTGATCTTTCTGTATATTCTCCTCTCTGCATATTGCCGAGGTGCTTTCAGGTCTCCGACAGAGCTCAGCTCCCAGTACTCAGGTAACTCCTGCCATCCTCACAGGCGCTCATTCTCTAGCCACTCCATTCTTCACAAAGTAATATAGTCCAGGTTAGGACCTGGGTGATGGCCTTTTGTGCGATGAACCTTCACCCTGGTCGCACTTAGGGCCCCTTGGTTCCCCATAACTATAAATATGTCTTAGTGTCTTTTATTCTCGCCATGGTTGCATTGGACGTGGTGGGTTGGGATTAATTTATTGGATTCCAATAACTTTTCCATAGGATTATAAATATAAACTTCTCCAACCACGGCAAGGTCCAGGAAAGGCTCTGTGCATGGTGGTCAGTGCCTGGAATCCCACAAGTTGATGCCCAGCTTGAGCTAACTTGCTGAGACTGTCTTGAAATAAAATAAAAATGCTTAGAGATACAGCACAGTGCGAGGGCCCTAAATTTAATCCCTGATACCGGAACAAAATAAAACAGAGTCAGTGTCAAAGGGCTCCACTCACCACTCTCCACTTCTTCCCCTCCAATGCGAGCACGGGAGCATGTGTCTGTGGAGAGTGAGCCTTGGGCGACGTGGGGCTTGGAGTGTGGCTCTTGGTTGGAGACCGAGTTTGTCCTTGTGCTCGCAGGCTGGGGTTCTTATAAGTCTTCTGGTCATCTGTGACGTGCCGAAGCCCTGTGAGGGTCACAGGCAGACACATTTCTTTACATTTGATGGGAAGTGAAAGGTCCGTGGTGTAAGACATGCAAGAACTGTGGGTCACGCTATTGGCGGGATAATCTAGCGCTCGGGGTGAAGATGTAGTCTGAACCCTGTGTACGCTCAGATCAACAGAAGCACTGTCTATTTTTAACTTGAGAAATCCTGTCTTTAAGGACACAGGATTATAACAATTCTGTAAAAAAATAACCCCACAAACCCTCAAGTCACCTTAGCCAAAAAAAAAGACTTTGTTTCTTCTCTGTTGGCTACATCATTAGTCACGGCCTAAATGTTGAGGAAATTCCAGGGACTATCAGAGGACGGAACTGACTTTAGGGATAAAGGGTCAGTCAATTATTTTACTTTGCAAATGAGTTTCAGGCAAGGCACTGAAGTTTGAGCCAATGATAAAGTTAAAATTCTAGCTCCCAGCCCAGTGCAGAAGGACTCCTCCATGTAATGCAGAAAATATTTGTATATAGTTTCTGGCAACATGACTATTTAGATATTTTTTAAAAATTTGAAATGAGGCATTCACCAGAGAGACAAAGCTAGCTCAAAGATGTAATTCTTCAACAAGCTAATACACTGTTTCAGGACAAAGGTGCTAGTGGTTTACCATTTTTACTTCAAACCTTTCTCTCTCTCTCTCTTTCTTTCTTATTTTTCTTTTTTTTGAGACAAGGTTTCACTGTCTTAAAAAGCACTTTAGGCTTGCCTTAAACTCAGTTTGTAGCCCGGGCTGGCCTTGAACTTGCAGCAATCTTCCTGCCTCAGCCTCTCAGTGGGTCTTTCTGCTTTGTATTGGGGGGACTGAACTCAGGACCTTCACACTGACATATCTTCTCAGGCTTTTTATTAAAAGTAAAATAGAGGCAGACACAGGGGTGATGGCCTATAATCCCAGCACCCTAGGAGGCTGAGGCAGGAGGATTGCAGGTTCAAGTGTAGCCTGGTCCACTTAGCCACTTTGTAAGAGCCTGTCTCAAAATAAAATACTTTAAAAAGGATGTTCTCAAAAGAGCCCAGGCGGAGCTCAAACTTGTAATCCTCCTGCCTCGGTCTCCCAGAGTGCTGGGACTGTAGGTGTGCAGCGCCACGTCTGACTTACTCCACTTGCTCTGGATGCTTTGGCTTTAGAGGATGATGCTGACGCACCGGGTGCTGAAACGGTGATGTAGTGGAGTATGTGATAAAGAACCAGGTGCCTGGACATCTGGATCTATTCCACATCTGGACCAGGAGAGCACGCAGGCAGGCGCCTGTGTTCCCAGCTGCACCTCCCTTTTGTGCTTCGGGGACAGGGGAGGAGCCCTGGGAGATCTGTGTGCCAGGGCCGGAGGCGAGGCCAGGCCTTGAGCACTCACCTTTTGTGATGGCTTCTCCCTGGTTCAGCTGCGCAAATAAAGCTGAGCGGGAAGGAGAGGACGCTTCTTTTGTGCCTTCATTCTCAAAAAGTGGAGGCGGCCCCGGAGGAGGTGGCGGTGGAGGGGGTGGTGGGAGGCCAGGCCCAGCGGAGAGGACCGAGAATGCAGATGCCGGGGATGCTACAGGACCCTGCGGAAGACAGAGGATGGGGAGCTGCACCAGGACCCCGGCCCTGGCTGGGATTGTGCCCGTGTCTCAGGGGCTGTGGCTCTGAGGGCCTGGCATCCCAGATTCCCACAGGGCACCCCCTACTTGGGGGCAGAGGACCTGGGTCAAGGAGGGAGCACAGTTGGCAGAATCTGCACACCCACGAGGCCCCTGGCAGCTCATAGGCAAACAGAGCCGTATTCACAAGTTTGTGTCCAGGGCTCAGCATGCCTTGGCCAACCTGGAAACATACGAAGAAAGCCAATCAAGGGGTGAGATACACATTAGAGAGACACTGCACACCACGACCCTCAAGGAGAGAGAGAGCTAGCTAGAGCTATGAAGCAGTCAGTGGGTACCAGAGGGTTTTGGACCTTTTTGAGCAGCTACGAGGGAGATACAGAAGTTCTCTGGAACCCATTTTCCAAACATGCAGGCCTCCAGCTGACTTCTAAGCAAAGACCATGTACTTAGGAGGTGGAGTACAACCTTTGTTATGAACTACTATGTGAAGTGCAACCTTTATCTGGTATGAAGATCCCACAAATTTAAGTGGCAGTCAAAGGAGACAGGCAAGCGGCGGGATTTGTTTTCATGTGTGCAAAGGACTTTACACAGGATGTTCTCAAAGAGCTTAAAACTAGGAGAGAAACATACATACCTATACACCAAACTTCAAACATGAGCACCTTTTGGTGGCACTGAGCTACAGTCCCAGTCTTTTAAAATTTTTAAAATTTTGAGACAGGGTGTTGCTAAGTGGCCAAATTGACCAGGCTGTGCTTGAACTTGCAATCCTCCTGCCTCAGCCTCCTAGAAGGCTGGGATTACAGGCCTGCAACGTTATGCCTTCTTCTAGTTTACTTTTAAACCCTGAAGTACTGTACTACTATGATAAAGATTTGTTCAGAGATTTGTCCTTTTCGCTACGCAGTTCAGGCTGGTCTTCAACTCACTTGGTAGTCCAGGCTGGCCTCGAACTCACAGCACTCCTCCTGCCTCAGTCCCTCAAGTGCTGGGATTACAGGCATGTGCCCACCATGTCAGACTCTATGATAGAGGTTTACAAGCCAATTCAATTTTTTAGAAGTCAGGAAAGTAACAGGTGAGAGTAGGCAGTAAGATAAAAGTGAGACACATAGTTTAGGCTTATATATTTTAGATGTCAAATACAAAAGGTCAAATAGTCCATTAGCACAAAATATTATAAACTTATCCATTTTCAAAAGCTCATATATAGTCCTTATAAAGTATCAAAATCAGGACGTTTTAAAACACAGGTTTTAAAAATAAGCCATTTTTAAGGTAATTAATTCCTACTCAATGTAAACATCCTGAAAATAAATGATTCTTCTCTTATTCAAAATGTCCAGCCTTAAATTCTCAGTGGGGTGGGAGACTCATCTTTTGAAGCTCATGATTTGCAATGGTTTTGGATTTCTAAGGATCAGCCTGACTTTATCCAGGGTCAAGTAGAAAAGGGTTTCACAGTTCTTGAGACAGACTAATGTTCCCTCCAGGATCTGACATGTTTTCCATTATGTCACTCGGGTGCAGCTTGAGCGTTTGCTCTGTACTGTAAAGAGCGTGTTACACGAGCTCTGTGGATCAAGCAACACTGAAGTCCTCAGGTCCAGACACTGCGAGCCACCAAGCCTCACTTGCACCCCTGAGCACATCGTAATTCATGTAGTCGATGAAGGGTTGCAGCCCTTCCCCAGTATCCGGCACACTGAAGCTCTCCATTGGAAAGGGAGACTATCCGGCTTCTAAATCCTATTTCCATGGTTCCTGCGCTCTCAGAATTCAGAACCTTTCTCCAAGAAGGGGACCCATAACAGAAAATGCCACATGCTCAGCTTTTTGAAACTTTGATACACTCAGATAGCTGATCCAGGACAACAGGCAAAAGGGTTACTGCAAAACAAGTTGAAAATAAAAGTAAAATGACAACAGCAGGAATAGCAGCAGCAATGATGAAAAGGGCACTCGGGCCCTGGAACTCTGCCTCGCCTTGGGGCGGCCGTGCACGCATCCTGGCTCATTCCCCTATTGCCCAGTGAGAGAGTAATGCCAAGCCCTGGTTTCCAAGGTTACTTTTTCAGTTAGCATTCAGGTGTGGGACTGAACAGGGAATTGAAATCAAATCGATTGGACATTTCCTGAACTGGATCTCAGGGCCGCCCCGCAGAGGAGCCTGCCTTTGCCTTTCTCCTGTCCTCTCCTGTAGGGTATCACAGCGCACCACCCCAGGGCTTCCTCTTCTCCTTCTGCACATGAACCTGGCGCCACACAGCCGGGAATCTCAGCCTGACGCCAAGGCTTCTGGTAAAAAAGCAGAGGAAAAGGAATGTCCAGGAAGGGCCAGAGCCACAGGCTGTGGGAAGTCAGGTAAATGGAGGCACCGACTGTTCATTGGCTCAGTAGATACTAAATGTCTGGTGATGACAAGCTCTAGCCCGCGGTTCTCAAACGTGTCTGAGAATTAGAAGCACCTAGGACTCTGCTAAACACTCCCACGCCCGGGCCACCTTGCAGCAACGCTCGCTGTGGGGATGGGTGTGGGCTGGGGTCACAGGTATGGGTAGTTTTTTAATCTCCTTAGGTGATCTTAATGTGTGGGCAAGTTTGGGGACAACATTCTGTCTTATGTGCTGAGATTAACTATTTTTAATTTATTTATTTTTCTTTTCAACTTTTTCATTAGATATTACTGGTACATTTTAGATATACATAATGATCACATTCATCATAGAGAATTTACACCTGCACATGATATAACTTGGGTTTTTTCTCCCCCAGCCCCTACAACACCTGAGATTAATGACAGCAATATGACTAGAAAGGTACTGTAACACCTCTAGCACGAAATAAAATAAGAAATCAGAAAGGCAGATTAAATTCAGCAATAAATTATCAGTCAAGGGCAAAGTTATAACTCAAGCACCTGTCTGCTTGAGGTTTGAAGCCTTCTTCCAAGAAATTCTTTATGCTACATTTAAGATTTTTAAAAAAACCACTAGCCATAGGTCAGAAGTATGGATTCCCTGGACATATACATACCGTTGTGCGTGGGCCTCCGGTTAGATACATGTGACTGAGGTCCTGGGGCAGAATAATCTTGTCACTCTGTCTTTTTAATGCCCTCACAGCTAACTCTGGACACGTCCCATCCTCTGGGTGAATAAGACCTCTTGGGCTTTGACACTGGCATCTCAGCGTTCAGTGCATCCCACCCTTGATGCTGAATTCGTGGTGAGTTGGTGTCTTTCTTTTAGAAAGTGGCTTCTTGCTTTAATTCACTTTTCCTAAATACCCACTGGACCTAGTAACAGGATACCTGTATCAAAGTCCTGGCTCTCCATTCAGTGATCGAGCTGGTGAGGGCACCGCCTGTCAGTGTGGTTTTTGGTTTTTGTTGAAAAGTAGACGTCCTAGAGCAGGGAATGCACTGGCCTGAATGGGCAGGGGTACGGGGCATCAGGGCCTGGAGCCCCAGGTGCCCACTGAGTGGCCTGCTCCTTCTAATGCAACCGAGGCTACAGGCCTGTGGGAAAGTGGGGTTCTGAGGAGAGGGGATGCCGGGTGAGGGTCGAGTTCCCATCCTTCACAATGTGAGTTAGGTTTATCCAGAGACTTTGAAGTGAGACTTTGCAGTGTAAACTCCCCAGTAGGCAGACCTCGCTGGGGGCACCTCTGAACCAGGAGCTGCTGCCCTCGATCTTGAAGGAGATGGCGCTCCATGGGGCTCTCTCCCTTGCTGTGCGCCCCAGAAGTCCTAAGAAACCACAGTGTCAGCTCACAGACCACAGGCGCTTCTCTGCTCCCAGCTTTGGAGTCAGGGGTGGTGTAAGGAGAAGCAGTGTGGTTTATTTACAAATTATCTCGTTATCCTTAGTCCCTTTCAAAGAAACCCTTTCTCAATCAACTTGTTTCTTTACAAAATGTCTACTCTATCAATTACTGTATTTTATTGTCACAGTATAGACCCATACAGCGTCACATCAGGATGTGGGTGGACGTACCACGTGACCCGCCAAGGTCACACAACAGGAAAGCGAGGCTGAGCCGTGGAGGGAATCAGAGGAGATCGACTTAACCGTAGCGAAGTGGCAGTGACCCCTCACAAACGCCTGTGAAGAAACCTTCTTTATGCTGCTGATAAAATGAATCTTTTAGGTATCTTAGAGACCAGACTGGGAGCAATTGAAAATGACATTCTATTCAACTCATGTAACAGTGGCGTGCAATTTAAAAGCAAGAAAAACAGCCCATTTATAATTTTAAACAGCCATATTTGTAGTGCAAAAGTTCACTTGCATTGCCAAGAACACATCACAAAGCCTAAAAATGTTGTTTTTAAGGTCTATTAAGATTAATTTTGAGAGCAGATGCTTGATTATATACTTTTTTTTCCTGGTACAAAGACTTTTTAAAAAGCTAATGTATTGCAAATCCCCTTCTCTAACTTAATTTCACTGTCCGGGGAACAGCTGCTTCTTCTGTTTTTACATATATATGAACTGTAGCCATAAAATAATGAAGCCATTGTGAGCAGCTCATGGACCATTTTAATGTTTAGGTTATATACACTCTATAGATCAACAGCTATGTGATATGTACTGCAGTTGTATACCAATGTGCCCTGTAATTTGTTTTCACTCCTTAAAATAATGTCATTATTTTGCTACTTTAGATGTTTGATTTTATTGTGAAAGGGAAATTATTTATAGTTCTTATATGAAATCTCCATTTTGTTGGGGGTAGATATATATAATGCACAATCTACTGTAACCCCCTCCCCAAACACATTCACCTTAATTACCCAGTTAATTCAGGTACAGCCTAAATTTGCATCTGAGTAAGCCAGGAAAGTTGCTCCAAGTATTCATTTTGTTGAGTTTGTGAAAAGTAGGACAAATAGGGATCTGGTAGGTGGGGTTAAGGGGCCAGAGAGGGGCGTCGGTGCTCCCCGCAGACCT